AGGCAAAAAACGACCCAAGGCTTAAACTTTATTTTAGTCTCATTTTGTGCAGAATTCAGTTCTCTATTTTGTACACTATACAATATCTCTAGATACTCTTTTTTCGAAACTTCATACGCCCAAAGCTATAAAATATGTGATTTCGTCATTCGTTCTGCTTACGTATCTTTCAATTTTTTATTAAAAAAATTGAAATAAAATTTTTAAAATTAACTAAAAGTCAGGAATATATGAACATTTTCGAAGCAAGGGGATGATAGCAGAATGTATCCAAATTATAAGACTATCTCCAGTTGCTTGGATTCATATTAATCTTATTGGTAAATACGAGTTTAACTCAAATGTTGAATTACCTGAGCTAGCTGATGTAATATACTGTTGATATCAGCAATATCAGACAGGCACCATATGATCTTCAAGTTGAAGCTTTTAATGCTGGTGTCATACCTTACATTAAATCAAATAAAAATTTGATCTCCTCCTTAATAAATTATAGAAATTTATCCCTCTATTCTCATACCTTCACCGATAATTGCTTGATAATTATTGAGGCTTTTAAAATAAATGTTAAATATAACGCTTATATTTAACATTTATTTGTTGGACATATATATTTTACAGTTTTTGAGTTGGAAAATCCTGTCAAGCAAGGCATTTTCTTAGTTTAGAAAAATTGTATAATTAGACGGATGTCTATTTTGACATCTCAAAACTATTGCTATACTACGCAGCACTCTTAATACTTGGTTATCATTAACATTATTCATATTTGGATACTATCGACAAAATGCACTTCTTTTGGCACTTTAATTTTACCGGAGATTATGATATCATTATCTACAAATCTGCCTTCTGGACTTTTGTATTGCATCACTAAGCTATATTCTTGCATAATTCTTAACTACTAAGGTTCGTATTCCCTTACTATAACATATAATCCTATAACTCACAAAATATTTATGCTTCCAGCTCTACCAGCTAAAATATAAAACTATAGTAGGTAATAGCTTTAGAGAGCAAAAATATAGAGAAAATCCATAAGAAAATGTTAAAATAGATCAAAAATCTTATGGAAATGCTTTGCAAATCATTTTAGGAAATCTTACCAAATTTAGGAAAAAGGTATTTATTTCTGCAGAATTCCTCTTAAATTTTTGTAAAACTAGCAAATAACTTGGTTAAAATCTTTAAAATTTTGGAAATTACCCCCACAGCCACTACCTGCTCATCTTGGATGTGGGTACTTGCAAAGACAACAAATTTTTTATTATGGAAGTGCGTTTTTAAAGTGTTTAATTCTTGCTTATTCACTGTTAGCTGCTTATTAGCAAATTTAATATTCCCTAGGTTAATTATATTATTTGTTATACCAAGCTGAGCAAATTTATTAAAATCTTTATCACTCTGTACTATAATTTGACTAAAATTATAGACAACCAATCTAAAAACGTAACTTAGTTTCTTCCAGAATTGAAATGATTTATTCGAAAGACGGGCATTCACTAATAATAATTTGCAATATTTACCTCCTTCGTCTATTAGAGCCGGCCATAATTCTGATTCAATAAAAATACCGAGTTTCGGTTGCCAATGTCTAAAAAACCTTTTAACAAAAATAATATTATCTATTGGGATGAACTGATGAACAGCATGGGGGGGTAATTTTTTCTGCAATAAAGCAGTAGATGACGTAGTGCCAGTAGTAATAAGAAATTTTAAAGTTGTTTTTGAACCTCGAGTTTTTAGCCAAAGACTGTTAATAGCATCAATTAAAGTAAGTGCTATATTAGATTCACCAATACTAGCTGCGTGTAGCCAAATTAAAAAATCATTTTTTTTAGGTGATATTTTACTAATAGCAAAGCGCTCACAAACATGCTTTATATCTTCTTTTCCTTTAAACGTTCTAAATATAAGTAATACAAAATATGCAGGCAGAAAGAGAAAACTTAATATATGATAGAAATAAATCATGAATTATATATACTCCATTAATACTTGCCGTAAATTTACATTATCCTGATATTCATCTCCCGTTAATACCTAAGGTAAACTTAAAGCATGTCTAAAGCATCCCATATACCTTGCTCTACCCATCTCTTAAATCTTCCATAAATACTGTGCCAATACCCATAATGTTCAGGCAAAAGGTGCCATTGACATCCGCTCCTGGTTACAAACCATATCGCTTCAATAAATTTTCTTAAACTAGCTTCATCGTGGCTATGTATTCCTTTGCTTGTTTTAAAAATGTTATAATTACTTCCCATATTCGTTCATTTATGTAATACTTCATAGTGATGGTTTCTTTGTTTCGATGACTGGAAACTACCATTTAGTATTATTATTGCAATCCATTATCTCTTATCCCTCAACCTTAAAAATTGTGTCAACACAACCTAGGTTGTGTGAAGGAAATTTTTATAGAAGTGATTTATAGAGCATTTTAATAGAAAAATAGTGGGAATTTTGCAGGAATAGTGCACCTATTTCAAAAAAAAAATTTATTGCTGCTTCCACTATTGCGAGCAAAGAGCCTGAAACAGATCCGCCACCTTCGCAGCTAGATTCCATAAATGTAGAAGAAGATTTGAGTCTAAATTCAGTACCACAATTAACTGCAGAAATAGAGGGAGTCATGAAGGCGGAAATGTGCCATGCTGTGCGCCAAGAAGTATTAGCTTCAGTTAAAGTATTCATAGAAGTTCCAAATCCCATAATTCGCCAAAAAATAATTGAACTTCTTAAGGCTATAACTACAATACCCCTTGATCCTGATTAAAAATGGACAGATGTAATATATTAAGATTCTTAATGCAAATTACTTCTGTCAAGCAAATTGTTCATACATAGAGCTGGGTCAACAACAGCTTTTTTTATTGACAGTAACGCTAGTTTATTAGTATAATGCTAGGCTGTGCGAAGGAAATTTTTATAGAAGTGATTTATAGAGCAATTTAATCGAAAAATAGTGGGAATTTTGCAGAAATAGTTTACCTATTTCGCAAATTATATTGCCATGATTTTGACTTCTGTTAAATCTGGCATTACTTTGCATGAATAGATTAGCATGGAAAAATTGTAGATGGAAGCAGCAAAGAGAAGTATTATCGCTTATAAACCTCAGGTTTATATATTGCGTATAGCCTGATTCTAACGAATGCTGTCTATAACCCTGCAGCTGGTTATTTTTCTCCTGTCTTTCGTCAGAAGCACCTGTTTTTGTGTTTATGTTTTATGGCAAGGTAGGTTTTGGGGATCAGTATAATGGGATTGGGAGAGGTAGTTGTTTAGGGCTTGCTTGCGCTGTTTCAAGAAAAAATTTCAAGGAAGTATAATCTAACACTTGACTGTCCTAAGCAGTTTGAGCATCCTGACATACAAGACAACTTATGTAGAAAATTATGTTAAATAGTGAAGAACCCAATGCTGAAGCAACAGTAGCAAACCAAATGCACGAGACTGCACAGCAAAAAATTAAACTCCAGCAAAAAAAAGCTAGGCTGATTATGGAAGAAATCAACTTTAAAATCAAAGAACGGAAAATGCGTACTAGGCATTTGATAGCAATAGGAGGGTTGGTTGTAAAATCAGAGTTAGATAATCTACCGGCCAATAGCTTGCTTGACGCTTTAGTTTCTTTAAAACAGGAATTAGCTAAAACTCCTGAGATCCAAGAAGAATGGACGAAACTAGGGCGAGATCTCTTGAACCACGAGGAAGAAAGCAGAATTGCTGTTGAAAATGTCATGTGATGTCCCTAGTAACGGGTTTTAATATTGTAACTTCTTGTCGTATGATCTTATGAAATCTTTCAAGATCTTGTCACTTCTTACATATCATACAAGATCTAATCACAAGGTCTTGCAAGATCTTACGGAATCCTGTTGCAAGAAAAATCTTATGAAATCTTATAAGATCCTTAAAAGATTCTTGAACCAAGATTCTTGTGAAATCTCGTAAGATCTTATAAAATTTTACATGATCGTATAAGATCTGTGAAATCTTATGATATCTTGTAATATGATCTTACAGGAGTACATCATCACACTATATCCATTGAATAGAGCAGAAACTCACACACAGCTCGACTTTTTAATGACAATATCTCTGTTCGACATCTCATCAGCATCTTCCAGTCATTTTCAAATAAACATGCCTGCAAATATCTTTGCAGGATGTGCACAGACTCTGTTGAAAATCTACACTATCAGATCTGTTCTGCTAGAAATCTGGTAAAAATCTTGCCTACTATCTCCATTAAAGATCTGCTGTAATCTGTTGTAGAAATATCCCTTGGTCTGTCAATTATTCCTTCATCTTCTACAGTTTCCTCTACTGACTAAAATACAGGTGGATAGGACAGGAAAAACCATCTGAGTTGTAGAAAGACGCCTTCGATTACCTGTAGGATAATACACTATTTCTTTTAGTCAATGAAAGTGCAACTTTTTGACAAATATGAATCTTTTTTCCGATTTTTCATTTTTGACAGCTGTTATTAGTAAGTACTTCTAACAATGTAAGTTTCTCTAAGTAAAATGATCGCTTACAAAGAGAAGGCAAGAAAAAACAAGGGAGCGCTCGTCTGCATTCGATCGGTCCCTTGACTTTAGGAACTCAAGTCTGCGAACGACCTTTCGTGACTTTGAATCGAAGACAACGCTCACACCTCTCTTCGGTCAGTATTAGCTAGGGAACTATCTACAATATGTTATGAATATTTTTCTGATTTGATATGTAAGCTTCGTAATCTAATACAAATCTATAACGTTTTCTCGAGACCCTCCAAAGATCTCCAGAGATCTAACAATATTTCTGAACTCAACACAATGCTCACGTTTCCTTCGGTCGGCGTTCGCAGCCAGAATTGGCGAGCAGTATTGTGAATTTCTCTGATTCCACGGAAAAAGCACACAATGATAAAATAATAAAGCTGCGTACTTCCATACAGGTCCGCCCACTTTATACACGACTTAAAGCCGGGAAGGTTTGACTATATGCAATCGATAGTCCTACTAAAGGTATGTAAAGACCCCTGTCGCCCCATAGAAAAATTATTCCGAACACGGTTTTTCCTCGGCCATAAGTTCTGAATTGAAGCGTTTTTAGGGGTGCTAGAACAGCAAAATCCGACCTTACCTAATACTAACAAGCGTTCTCATACTGCTAGTTGGAAAGAGCATACAAAGTTGCATATTTCTATCCACAAATGAGATTTTCTCCTCTGACATTCGGAAAGAATTTTTGACTGGAGGATCTTATCTGCACTAGGAGATATCGCTCGTTTTATAGCGTGTTGGACCAGCTCAAAATCTAACAAAACTTAACTTTATTTATATTCAAATGAAAGCAGCTTCCAAGTTTGTTCGTATGACGCAAGAATGAAGTCTCTAGCACTTTTTACTTCTTCATGGTAAGCGTAGCCGTGAGGCCTACTTTGGCTCGTCCTGGCCACCTTCCTCAAAAACTACACATCAGTTCTTCGAGGTCTTGTTAGCCCACACACTACTCGACTAATGCTACAAAACGTGCAATGTATTGACTTTGGCTAGGTAGTTTTTCTTGTGGGGGGTTTCTAGAAATCACGTCAAATTCTGTCATCTGCTTAAAAAGGTCAAGAATGGGAAAAAACCCAAAATTAGCCACGAAGTGAAATGCTGAATCTGAATTTCAGGTTAGTTTTTCAATATATGAGCAACTGAGGATTTTGACGGGATTTCTAGCAAATCCCCACAAGAAAAACTACCTGGACAAAGTCAATACCTTGGCGACATCTATCGCCGAGTCACAAAAAGAACGTGTGCTTATTTTTTTTTCTCTGCATCAGTAGATATTTTAGCCATCTCTTTGAATATTCTCTCTCGTAGTTAAAAACCTTTGCTAATTTTCTCTTTTGTGATTGGCTTATCCATGAATACCTGACAGGCATTTTTCCGTATTTTGGCCCCACAGACAGACAACTATTTTGTCAGATCCTAGACTAAACTAAAGTCAAGGGAAGATACTGATTAAAAGACAGGGATAACCGAGAGACGGTTTTTACTTTATGTCATGCCCTGTCAATTCTCAAAAAAACCAGCTAAATAGATATATGTCAATTGCTTACTGTTTTCTTTCACACTATATTACTGTATATCATCGCATCGAAAAATTTTGAAAGCTCGTTCAGTCAGAACCGATTGCAGATTCATCTTCTCCATAGTCGATTATCTGGTACGCGATAACTTGAGGGTCGGGATACTTTAGAAAAAAAAATTCTCATCATTTTGCTCAAAAAGTTACTGTATGGGACCAAAGGCAAAACGATGTCGAAAATGTTTTCAAAAGTACCCCAATCCAGAAGTTATGGCGTACCAGATAATCAACTATGGGGAAGACGAATCAGCAATCGGTTTTGACTAAACAAGCTTTTAAAATTTTTCGATCTGGTGATATGTTTTTTCTTATTTCACAAAAATAACATTCATATTTCATTAATAAAACATATGCACAAGTATAGTACAGATGAGACTTGTAAAACCACGTCCACATGACACATTTCATTTCTTTTCATGTTTACTCGAAGACATAAATTTACGGAAACTCAAGCATGACATTTTATATTTGTGTAACCGTTTATATTGATAACAATAGCAATGAGAAGAATATACAGCAAATAGGACGTTGTTTTGAATCTTGTGGTTTAGCAAAACAACGCTTCAGTCTCACAAATACTGCTACAAATTCAACCAGAGCGTAGTTCGTTTCATATTCTGAAGAAGAATGGAAATGAAAAAATGAATAAACAACGACGAATTTTCACTGCGCAAATTTACAGTCTCCTATCCATTTCCGTTAGATACAAAGGGTAAAAATATCTGTCAGTAACTTTGTACTTCTCTTTAAAGTCATTGTTATTTCGATTCTTTGTTTTTGTCCTTTGGCGTTGAGTCTGAAAAGTTTTTTGTTGTAGTTTGATATGTAATGATATGTTTGTCAGCTTAGCTGAAGTATATTTACACTCTTTAAACACGATCTTATTTATTTTCATTCTAGATCACCATTTATCACGATCGCTTCAAGCAGCTTTAGACAAGTTCTGTTAAAATCTGCATCAGAAGTTTTTTTTTCAACATCACGATCATTTTCTACATCGGCAACAGTACGTTTGATATAAACGATTAAAATAACTGTAGCTGTTTGAAAAAAATATTTTAGCATCATAAATCATTCCAAAAAATCCAGCGAGCACTCATGGGTGAGTCGGAAAAGAAATCAACTTTGTCGGAGGTATGTTGTAATAACAGGAAAGTGTATTTGTTATTGAAGGACAGATAATATTTTCTTTGCAGTTAAAACCGCCACCCGATTACATTGATCATCGTATTAATATATGGAATGAATTGAAGGCCAAATATCAAGTATTTCTTACATCTCAAAAACAAGAAGATATAACGATCACGTTGCCAGACGGAAAAACAATGCCGGGAAAATCTTGGAAAACAACGCCATTTGATATTGCACAATCGATAAGGTAAGAAATTAAAATAAGTACAGCTGACTTAGATTTCATTTCTTTTATTTCTAGTCAAGGATTGGCAAATGCAACTGTCATTTCAAAAATCGACGGTAAATTATGGGATTTGGAAAGACCATTGGAGAAAAGTTGTAAACTTGAATTAATCAAATTTGATGATGAAGAAGGTAAATTCATGATGAGTAATCCTTATAAATATTCCAATTACATTATTTTTATTTTGTTTTTTAAAGGAAAACAAGTATTTTGGCATTCAACAGCTCATATAATGGGTGAAGCAATGGAACTGTGTTACGGAGGATGTTTATGTTATGGTCCACCTATAGAGCAAGGCTTCTATTATGATATGTTTTTAGAAAATAGGTACACTCGAATATGACTCTATGAAGCAAAAAAAACATTTTATCATCATGAAATTCTTTTATATTCATACACTTCATCCTAAGAGAATTATCTAATCCTATATGCATATAGTAAATCGCCAAATTACTAAATCTTATTGTTTTTCTTTTAGGCAAGTGGCTGGCTCTGACCTCGAAGTATTAGAAAATGTAATGAAAGGTATAGTGAATAAAGAACAACCGTTTGAACGATTGGAAATAACCAAAGAAGATTTGTTAAGAATGTTTGATGTATGAGAAATAAATATCAATATCTCAAAACTGTTTATTTGTTGTTTTACTTTTAGTATAATCCATTCAAAGTTCGAATTTTAAACGAAAAAGTTACTACACCAACCACGACTGTTTATCGGTAGGTATTTCATTAGTTTCATTCATGCATATCGCTACAGATTCTTTTATTTAGATGTGGTCCATTGATTGATCTTTGTCTTGGACCACATATTCGACATACGGGCAAAGTGAAAGCATTTGCTGTTACAAAGGTACGTTTATATTTCATATACAGGGATGCGACGATGGAAAAAAAATGGGATGGGTGGAGTCAGCAAATTTTTGAAGTGTTCTTGCTGAGTACATATGTGCAGACATTTCTGCAAGGTCTAAAGGGGAGTCAGTCTTTAAAAAGCAAAATTTCCATATCAGATCCGCTGAAGAAAAATCATCATTTTTTAAAAGTGAGAGGGTCCGGGGGGCCCCGGGGGGGCGGGGCCCGGGGGGGGGGCGGGGGGTGGGTGTGGTCGGG